GATCATTTGTGTTTTTCCACGTGTTTTGAAGGCACCCAACCCGCCGGAAAATGTCGAGTAAGTGTGTCCTCTCTCAACACATTGGATTGTAATGATTAGTCGGTCTGCACTTATAAGTTTCGTGGAATGCTGTGGCTTGGAAATAATGTATTTTTATTTCTCTTTCCCAATCAAGCAAGCCACTGCCTTTATTTATGACTGTGTAATTTTATTTAATCTGGTGTATCATTTTCTTTGATCTCTTAGATCCCTTTTTTTCCATCTCTTAAATTTCAGTTAACGTCTCAGTCTTTCATCTTAACGCTGTACAATGTTGTATTGTTCAGTCGGGATTAAAGCCCACATAACAATTATTTTGTGTTCAGTCCAGTCTTTCCAAAGACCCGGCTACGTTTAATTGTCGTTTTGTCGAATGGAGATTTTTATCCGTTGAGTTAATGGTGTTGTCTGTTGCCCAGTGATGTCGGAGACCGAGACCCCAATGCGACTTCATCGATCCCTCCTGCCATACTGTGTTGCAGGTAATTGTGTTTCCTTTCGGTTTTACTGTATATAATTGCTCGTGTCAAATGAAAAATGACACAGTAACACCTGATTTGGCCGTTGGTCTAAACGAACTGTGAACACACGCCAGTAACACGCCAGTACCGGTGTGACTAGCGTCTGTTCGCAGTTCGACGCGGCCGCCATTACTTTCCCTTGCGCAGCCGTTTCTGCTTCACGTGATGTGTTCAATGACCTCACGTAAATAATATAGATTGTGTTCTTTTTCTCCCTTTTCTGTACATAATTACGATACAATCACCCATGTTGTGAATTTTGGTTTTGTTGTGTATTTTGTTTTGTTTTGCATAATGTTTTGTGAGGGGAGAGCCGACAAGGAAGTTGCATGTTATGTCCGAGACCGAGACCCCAATACGACTTCATCTCGCCCACCTGCCATACTGTGTTGCAGTATTTCACGAAAGAAAAAGCCACCTCCACATTATTATTGATATTATTATTATTCGTGTTATGGAGGCGGCAGCATCGTGGAGCTCAAGACAGACAGTCACAGTTGTGACACCCGTCACATCTCCTCAGATGATGTTTAAGATGAGACAACTACCGGTCAAGCTCAGCACCAGGAAGGTCCGGATTGGCTTCCATGGCCTGCATCACTGACTTGGAAACGCCCTTCAAAATGCCTGCTCGGAACACTTGCGAATGCAAGGCGGAGGCCATCGATGCGTGTCCTGTTTTCAGAGTGTAACCAGTGAGGGCCCGGTCAACAAAGGCTGCAGCCTCCTCTCTCCTTTGGGAGTGAACACCAAATCTGAGAGAACACACTCAAGGAGGGGAAACAAAGTGTTTAAAGCTGTGGACAAGGTCATGTAATTTTCTTGTGTAAGGGCCTGATTGTCGGGAAGAGAAGAGAAGCCTGAGTTTTGCAACAAAGTATTTGATTGTGAAAGCGGACATGCTTGTGTTAGGAGAACGCGGATTTCACCTGCTGTCAAAATTTGTCCTGTAACCGCTCTCTGCACTATTTGAAGAGAAGGATTTTCGGAAAGATTCTTCTGGGTCTGCAAGAATCTGGTTCGGTCCAAAACGGGGTCAGGGTGTGCATTTGAAAGAGTCTGGACATGACAACTCAATTTTTTGAATTGATTCTGTAATTGAGCAACGTGGAACCTGTTTTCCTTCTCTTCATTTGAAGGACCTCTAGTTGCGTGTTCTGCAACACAGAGAGCAGCTTCCTGTTCCATTTTCAGTTGGGCAGCATCTCGTTCAGCGCGAAGACAATTCTGCTCTTCTGCCTCAGTATTTGCTCTGTCTTCATGTTCATTGGTGATTTTCAAAAGTCGATCTCGAATATTTTGTGGAACCTCTTGGTTTCTGTTTCATTCTGTCATGTATAGTCTTATCTGAGTCAGACGTGTGAATGGGTCGGCCTTCAAGTCTGCAACTTTTTCTAATTTATCTTCTAATTCTCTCATGGCGGCGGTCACCCCAGCAGGCCAAGTTTCTGCAACTTTATTCATGTTTGATGTTGTCTGTTGTGAGCGAATGAGAGACGTTGGATCGTCTACATCTGCTTCAAGTCGGCCTGGAGTTACATTCAATATTGGAGCCTGAACTTCACTCAGCGCTTTCCTAATTTCACGGCAAGGTGACGACATGCATGGGCCAGTTGGAGACTATGTTGCAAGTTATTTCTCCTCCGAGTAAGATGGCGGCGCAGAGGGCATTTTGGGCGTTGGCGGTACCAGACCAACACTTCCCTCCCTGATGGCCACGTGGGACAACTTTAACGCACATCCCATTGCCATCATCCTTGCTCATGCTATCATTTCAACAACTTTCTGAACATCCTTCCGCACCTTTTTGCCGTTTGTTGACAATCTGTGAGTTTTTTTTGACTTCCAACTCTAAAGTCGCCATTTTTATAGCACAGGCCATTTCTGTTTCTTTCATCAATGTCAACAAACATGCAGTTGAAAACATTGGAGGAAACTGCCGTTTGTTGACAATCTGTGAGTTTTTTTTCGACTTCCAACTCTAAAGTCGCCATTTTTATAGCACAGGCCATTTCTGTTTCTTTCATCAATGTCAACAAACATGCAGTTGAAAACATTGGAGGAAACCATCCATCTTCACAAAAATTCCTCATTCAATCTGTCAGTCATTCTTTCTCACTTGCTCGTTCTTTTTCCGGTAACCGCCTCCCC